CACATTCACACATAGTTTAAAATGTTTACTGAGTGTGCAGGCACTGAATCAATGGGCATTTTCAAATGTTATAAATAACTTGAGATAGAAGGCCAAAGTAGACATAGCACTAACTGTCTGTCTGGATTTAATACACAGATTTAAAAATGTCCAAATATGGTAATATGGGGCAGACAAACAATTACTGGGATTGGGGTAGCCATAAGGAAAATCCCAAGGATAACTGGTTTTCTAAAATTGGTACAGCATCTGGTTTGGAGGAGAAGGCACTCCTGCTTACCACTGTTACCTGGGAACTCAAGAATGGTGGCAGTGTCTCAAGAAGCACCTTTGAGCAGTGGGCTTCATCTTTTGAGAATTCAAACCTCCCCCTCGCCCACATGAGTAATCTCCCCCTACTATATTTCAGAAGAACAATTTCCATAGGACTGCTCTAGGGCACAGACAGGTTCAATTTTTTTTATTTTTTTTAACCTGCATTAAAATGTAAAGGCATACATGACTGTAAAATGTAGCAAATAATAACAATAAGCAGCAGACATTTAGATGAATCATGTAGACACAGTACCTGTGTTCATTATCACAACTCAATCCTGACATATGAGGAAAGAGGAAGAAAAGGAGACGAAACAGTGGGAGGAAAGTTATATCTTCAAAAATTAGTTATATCTAGAAGTTATATCTTCAAAATTCATAACTGCCCAAGTCAGAATATGACTTTGTCCACCATGTCATGGCCAACTGTGCTACAAATTATATTCTGTTTCTCAAGAGGTTCTCTAGCTTTCAGTCGAAAATATATTTCTGCATATGCACAGGTTTGTTAGACAAGGTAATCACAGCTCACTGCTTTTGTAAACAGAAGTTCATATGCTCTTTAGTGTTAATCCTTTACTCCAAATGAAACTCTGTCTGATCGCTGTGAAATAAAACAAAACCTACAATGCCAACCATATTGTTTGCCATGAAATATATGACAGACCGCCTGACCAACCAAACATTTGTTTAGCAAATATCTTCAATTTCAATTTGGTTCTTGATTTTATGCCAATTTTTATATGTACACAGACATAACCCCTCCACTTGTTCCTGGTTATGATGGGGATGGACTGGTAGGAGAAGGAGATGGCTTTTCTACCAGTTCTTCACCAGGGCTCATACATATGAGAAGGTACCAAGCAGAAAAATAGTAAGTTTCAGCTTCCAGAGAACAATATGATAGTGTACATATGTTGCAACATGGCCAGCACACACCTGACATGGCTCTCAAAGCAATCTGTCCCTTACCCAATTTTATTTAAGGTATAGTGCAATGTTTGCATCCAGTTTGACTCATAAGAAGAAAAACATTTTCATATTGTGACAGACAACTATGTTACACGTCTCTATATGTCACACGTATGTAAGTGTATATGTCTGTAGGTAATATTACTAGGTTAGAGTTCATGTGGCCCGCAAAACAAGGCCCTCTGACTGCTTGATGATACCACATAGCCCAAGGCAAGCAGTGGTGCAGCAATGACGCCAGCAGGAGAGAGGGGAGCAGAGCCCTGCTTGGAGGATGCTGTTAATGAGGTGGCCAGGTCTACAGTTGCGTTGATAACTGAAAAGCTGTTGCCCCATCTTTCAAGGAGTTGACAAATCCCAGGTTCCACAGCAAGCAAAATTATTTTACGGGACTGAGAGAGCACCTGTCAGGGCTTGTACAACTTTCTTGTGCCCTGAGGTTAATTTCTGGGCCCTGTTACCAAGGAATAGGGCACTGGGGATGACAGTGGGCACTTTGAGAGCACCTGGGTCTTTGCACGTTGATTGCAACACCTCACAATGGCTTCCTCTCCTTTCAGGGAGAGCTGCACAGATGATGCTGCATCCTCAAGAGACAAAACTCTCTTCCAGACCCTAGACCACTATCTGGAGAATAGGGTTCTCCCTGAGCATGCAGGTGTTCACAGACTATGACAAACTGACCCAAAGCAAGGATTCTAAATCTATACATGGTGTTACAGACTTGTGATCTCCATTCCTACTAATACCAGTTTTCAGCTGCCATTAATTTTGGATTCAACCAGAGCACTGGCTTGTTTCTGAAAGCTTTCTGTATTGCACATTCTTCCTTCAATCTTTTGTTGACTGTTCTCTTTCTTCTGCCCCTATTTCTGGCATCCATTCACACTGGCAATAACAATTCCAAGCACTCTCAACATAAGCATACACAAAGCCGAGAACAAACAGAACAAGAAGCATCTCTAGATAAATTTATTTTTTTCCCCAATAAATATAATTTGGTACTGCCCAGCTGGGCCCACAAAAGTGTACATTTCTTTCTCTGTTGATCAACAGCATTATTTAATGAAGCCTAAGTTAGTTTATTCATACAAATATGAGACTTTTTGTGTCTATGAAATAACAAACCTTTGTGTGAAATTGAATCAATGTATTGCAATTAACAACATGCACAAGAGTGCATCAGATGTCTCTCAAACTTGTTACATTCTTGAATGAATCTGAATGCTAAGAAAACTTCCAGGAAATCCACAAGACACCTAAACAGGATTATAATCAAGATTATTTTAGTATAGCATTTCTGGAAGTTCAGACAGAAAGGAAATGTTTGATCAGAGGGTTATTTTTAGAAAATCCCCCCCAAAAAAAACATACAGTATCACTAAGCAATTACATACCTTTGAAAACGAAAACATAGACAAAGCTTTCAATTAAAGTACAACAGTGAATCTTATAAGAACTAAAAGTCTGGTGGATGTCTTCAGGCTGGAGAAACAGTTTAAACAGTATCCTTTAAACCGTTTACAGCCCAAAGCACTTCCACATAAGAAGACCATGTGAAATCTGTAATTGCTTTGCTTGTATCCCTGTTAAGGTATCAACAGGCAAATACCCATCAGCGCCATGTGGTTCATGAGATACACATGCAGTCAGACCTTATTACACTTATCCTCCAAGATCAAAGCATATTCACATAAATGGGGTGCAGCCTTCCATGGAGAGCAGCCAGGAGGCCTGTCATGGATCTGCAGGAATAAACTTCTTGAAAAGTTTGGGTGATGATGCGATTGTTCTGCTGTGGCTGGAGGAACACTCCACGTGATCGATGATTAGGACCAAGCTGAAACAGGAGGGAAAGGCAGCTCGAGATGCAAAACAGCCGCAAAAGCAAAAACTAACCCCAGCACGGTCAGTTCAAGCCTTTATCTAAGGACAGCATTTAATCCTTTATAGTCCTCAATGAAGATGCCACCAAGTTGCCTGCAATGCTTCTCCAAATCTCATGAAAGTTATCCTTAAATGGATTGGAGGAAGGGAGAATTTTCTTATACTTTCACCAAAAAAAAGCTTTTTAAAAACCTTAAGAGCAAACATATGGGTCTCTGCTGTGCATCTGCATGCTTACAATGGGCCTTCCACCTGCGTTCTTTCTTATGCGCATGCAGCTGCTTCCTTTCAAACCTTTATTTTAGCACCCTCCTTTGAAGCCACAAAGCCAACCCTAGTTCCCCTGGTGCTAAGCCTCCTCTAGGTAGGACCCTGTAAAAGGGGAAGTTAATGGCAACAAAGCCATGTCCTTTAAAAAAGGGGGAGGTTGGGGAATCCACACTGGTTAAATCATCACATATGTATACACTATCTCTCACACAGAGACACCGTTTCCTTCCCCCACCTCCAGGGCTCTGGATGGTTTGACAAGCCCTCTGGCAGTAGGAGAAAGCAGGGAAGGGTCCCTACCCCACCCCACAGGTTTCAATATGGCTCATCAAAGAAATACACAGATCAGTAAGAAAAATACACAGATCTGCAAGAAAAAAAGGGGGGGCGTTTCAATGCATTTATAACTATCCCCCTATATGAATGGCTGAAAGCACAGATTTGGTACCTGGAAAGGGGAGGGATGAAACGGTAACTCCATTCCACATTACAGTACTTAGTTACAGTTGTTAACGTCTCCGCTCCCCGCCCACAATCTTACTCTCCTTACAAATCAGGCAGGGTAAAATGCATTGGACGCAGCGGCTCAAAGATGGCCAATTTCTAAGCCTCTGGCTCCATCCTTAGACCCAATCTATACTTCTGCTTCAAAAGGCGTGTTTGGGAAGCCACCATCCCGCCTAGACTACAAAACACATGCACCCCTTCGCACACGCGCGCCCACTCACAAATATGTAGTCGCTCAGGCGGTTTTTATGCCTTAAAAGTGTGGAGTTCAGGGAGAGGGCTCTGACGTTTCAGAAAGCTTGAACTCTTCACTTCAGGGCAGAGGGGAGGGGCAATGGATGGGCGCGTTACTAGCAGCCAAGCCTGATCTTGGTTTCTCACAAGTGATCGATGATCACCCTACGCCTTGAGTGAAAAGCAGAATCAGATGTGTGGGTGTTTTTTTTAATGTTTATGATCCTGAGTCTAAGCACCAGAAAACACGCGAAGGCACGTACGCACACACAGACAAGAGAAGACGAGGAGAGCAAGAGGACCCATCCGTCTGCTTCGCTTGGTGCAACTGATTGACAGCCAACAGTTTGCTCTCCCCCCCCCCCAACAATTCCCAGATCCATGAAAACAAACCAAAGCCCGACACACAAAAAGCATCTTTTTTCGCACAGAGACGCTGGCTCCTTCTTGGAAAGCGCCTGCCTGTCTGTCGTGCCAGAAAGGGGTGGGGAACGAGAGAAGAGGCTAAGCGATTTTCGCCCGTAACAATCGGAAGGAAACAATGCAGGGCTGTAGGAGAAGACACACAGCATCGGAGGAAAGAGGAGGACAAGAAAGCCATCCCCATTAGAGACGTCCCAGATCTCCCCCAAAACAAAGGGAATCGCAACATCACACGCGCCGCGTAAAAAAACCGTTCCCCCAGATAATAACACAAGACAACACAGATCAGCCCATCTCGCCTCCAGGTCTCGCCGGGGCGCTGGCAAGCCTAGTCCGCCAAGCAGCTCCTTCCTCCGCTACCCACCCTCCGCCCTCGCCGCCTTTTTTTTTACCTGTTCGGAAAAAGGCATCCACCTCTGAATCGGGCACTGCCCCTTCCTCGGCTGCCCCTTCGGCTGGGTTCATGGCTGCGCTCCGGCCGGAGGAGACTCAGCAGCAGGATAGCCGTGGCGGTGGTGGTGGTGGCGGCGGCGGCGGTGGCGTCGATCCTGGCTGCTGGGTAATATCCAGTGAGTTGTGGAGGAGGAGGAGGAGGAGGAGGAGGAAGAGAGGAGGAGAGGGGCGAGAGAGAAGGAGACACACACGCCACAAGGAAGGAGGGAGCCAGCCAGCTAGAAGCCAGCGAGCGAGGGCGTGTGTA